GCTGCTCAACACATGAAACGTAAGATCGCATTTTTTCGATCAAATTTGAACCATCATAACTTTTGATTTCCTCAACCGATTTTCAATTAATTTTCAGTTTCTGAAAGCTAGTTTCATTGACTATCGAACCTATGGATATGACTATTTTATCTTTTCCGGATGAGATTCTACAGGATGATAATCAAAGCTGTGCATTTTTCCAAAAATTTCAAACGCCTCCCGTTTGAAAGAAAAATTTTTCCATTTTTTTGTTTAGGTCAAAAACATATTGCTTCATATGTTCTCTCGATACTGTAAGAAAACTTTTGGAATTGTCACACGCGTTACTGAAATATGAATGTTTTATTAAGATAATGCATAATTTGATGCTCTAATTTCTATTGGCTTTGTGTTCCTGTCAATCTGGTTCGAATGGTGGTCAAAAATCTTGAAATGATGCATGATCAACCTATTCTTACATACAAGGTGGTCCTCAAACAACAACTATGACATCAATTAAGTAAAAAAAATCTTGTTTTGACGAGCAAGAAAATTTCGAAGCAGGAAACCGATTGAGAAGTTTTCTGGCGATCAAAGCGTGTAGGAGAGGTTGTCATCACCATGTCAAGTTGCTACAGAATCTATTGCAAGATCAAACCACTGAAATTGTTAGAAAAACCGGATTTTCAGAGCGTCGTTCTCACTTTGTGATAGATTTTTAGAAGATAATTTCAAGGCAAATGAGATAGACTGAAGAAATATACAGGATGTCGTCTAAATAAAAAAAGTTGCTGCCGAGACATACCATGCAACTGACAGAATTCATCACAATGGCAGACGTGAGTCACATGGATATGTAATGAAGAGTATCCTGACTCCATCACAGTCACAGTGTTGAAGTTCTATGTTTTTGCATCAATATCACCAGTTCAAATCACATCAATCAATTTCACGTTTTATTAAATTCAACAATGAAGTGAAAATGTAAAGTATAAAAAATCAATAACATATTAATTCCGTTGGACCACACCTCTTGATCTCAGAAGAGATAAAGCCCTATTGGACATGCTTCCTATCAAAGTGTTTATAAAATTCTGGGGAATAGCTTCCCACTATCCCACCTCGCTTTCCACTATCTCATAATTGCATAGTTTATATATATTTTCATTTTTTTTTTAGGTGGTCGAAATTCGTATGGACTCCACGAAGAACTAGTCCCTTCATGGTAATATGGAAGTCCTTTGGCATGGGTAGGTTTAGACACTAAACATTCCACCCCACACATACAGGGTGATCAGATTTCTGAATCTTGAACCACCCTGTATCTGTTCCGATTAAATATCAGTAAATAGTGAATCAAGAGTTGAGATAGGGACATGTGAGCCATTTCGACCAAGAAAAATCTCGATTTTGAACACTATATCTCTGTAATCATTTTCGATAGACCCCAAGTGTGATGTATCGATAGAATCAGCTCTTCAGGAAGAATCTAAAAATACGATAAAATACAGGGTGTTCCATTTGAAATATCAATGGTATTGCTACCACTTTCTAGTAGAAGCGGCAGCACTGCATTGTCGAAAATATTCTCGATATAAAGATAGTGTTAGCTCGTCGTGACACACCCTGTATATTAAACCCTTATTACTGAGACCTATTCACCTTGTCCTTGTTATACAAAACGAATAATCAAGAAGGAAACGATAATTTCCTCACATAACCGGTCTGCATTTTACACTTTACCTGACATTAAGAATATTATGCTCTGAAACTGGAATGTCAAAGTGAGATAAAATCGACAATATCCGTGGTTAATTACTCGTTCGTCAGGATTATTGTTTCCTGTGAAGATTAGGTATTATTTACTGACCTGAGGAATTTAGAGTATTTTCAAGTTCTGTAGCCTAACCTTTTTTTGATCTGGCTCGATCTAATAACTATAATTCTATAATGATATACTTAATATATGGTTAGTTTTTATCTTGGACATTAATCAATCCGATTTGATCTGAACGTAACAGAGCTTGGTGTTCAATCGTTTTATGGGTTTTGATTCCAAGTAAGAAAAGAAGAATTAATGAGCATGTTGAACAAATACACCTATGAAGGTTTTTGCTAAAGTTTTATTGGTGATAAAAGAAATATATCCAGTAAAACTAGAGTTCTTCACAAGATCAGATACCGAATTTTTTAAAGATATTTGATATCAGATTATTTTTTAACCTCCGACATTCAATATTTTATCTGATGGCATGTCATAATGACAACGTTATGTCACTCAATTTTGATGACATAAGGAAGCTCATTATGGGACTAAGTACCATAATGAAATTCTATAAGGAAAACATGTAATGGTTTGATCAAAAAAGTTTATTCAAAATGCATAACTATGTACAAAACTATTTATTATAAATGGTAAAAGAACAATTACTACAATTTGTAATATTAATATAATGGCAAAGCACAGCTCACTCACCTACTAATATTTGAAACTACACAATACTCACTCCTTTAAAAATAGTTGTCATTGTGACATGTCGAAAATGCAGTTTTTAATTTTTCGAAAATGTATTGATATAAATGCCATCAGATAAAATTTTGTATGTAATACGAATCATAAACAATCATTATGGCAGCACGCCGTGTTATCGGACTCGGCTACGCCTCGCCCGATAACATTCACGACTTGTACCATAATGATCGTCTTTATGATCCTTATTACATAAATAACTATTATTTCTGTATAGGGAACAGCTAGAGCTAGATTATCGGAGGTATACAGGGTAACTCACACTCGATGGTAGTAAAAATTTCGCATCTTACATTTTATCACCTGTTCTATCGATCTGAGATATTTTCGATATTGCGACGTTGCCGTTTTTATCAAAAAGTCCTAGCAACTTCATTTTTTCAAACAGAACACCCCGTATATTAATAAATTTTCTGAATCGCCCTTTCATCACAATACTCTTTTGTTGATAAATGCCTATACCCATCTCTATCGGTTTTCAAGATAAAAAATAATGTGTGTTAAATATGATCCAAAACATATCCCTAATTGAACTTAAGTAACAGGGCTCTCAATTCATGAAGAGTTGATATATTTTAGTGGTGGTTTGGACAGGCTTGATGTATTCAATTCACACCGAGAAATCGCCTCCATATCATACAGGGCGTGCTAGAATTATTATTATATATCCGTTGTTCATACAAGTGGTCAAAAGTTCATTTCCCAAATGGAACCCACTGTTTTTTTTTTCAATAAATTGAAAGAAAAATGCTACAAGATGACATAGCATGTCCCTATACCTAAATCATCAAGTTTTCTTAATGATTATTCAAGTCATCAGCCTGAGAAACTCGAACCTTCCCTTAGCTTAATAAAGCCGCTTTTTGTGAAAAATATAATTTTATCAAGAAGTTAATTTTAGATAGCCAAGAAAATATCAAACTCATGACAGTTCGGTAACATCAATGAGTAATTCAGTAATTCTTATTGACAATTTTTCAAAAAATCTCCCAGAATGAACGCAAATATCGATTATTAAACGAAGTTTTGCCAGGACTTGCAGAAAATTCAACCAAATGTATCCTGAATTGACACCAAGGAGTTCAAAATTAATCCAGAGTGCTCTTTTTGAGCTAGAGTTTCAAGCTACTATAGGTCATTATCATTATCATTTTTCAACTCTTGGAGCGCACGAAATGGACTCCCTATTATGATCGTACATCGTGCATACCTTGATGAGAGATGAGCATCAAAGATAAAAGATAAAGACACTCTCTGAGGAGTCGTCTTTACTTTATAGTTTCCCTCATATCAAATTTTCATTGAATCGTTCAATTCACTCAGAAAATTATTCATGAAGAATTGATTTTCAGCCGCGTCACTTATAGATAGAGGAATGTCTTCGTATAAAAATATGCTATAGAAACTTCTGGTTTCACCTGAATCCAAGTGAGGTTTTCAACATTTCGGCTATTTTGTAGTTAACTGCTTTTTTTTACTTGAATTAACACCCTGAATGCTGCATCAAATTAGGAACTTCTTGCCCTAAAAGAAGCCAAGACGGAGATAATCGTGGATAATCCTCAATATACATGATATCCAGGGGCATACTTCTTCAAAAACGGATCTTTATCTATAAGGCACAGATCCGACTTGTCCCGGAATACTGTTCCCATATTTGGAGTGCAGCAACCAAACATACCCTGAAACTGTTGGATTCTGTCCAAAAAAGGGCAATTCGTCTCGTGGGTGATGCCTCGCTCACAAACTCACTCACTTCTCTAGAACACCGTGGAAAAGTTGCCGATCTGGCTCTATTTTATAGATATTTTCATGGACGATGCTCTTCTGAAATATCAACAACTGTTCCTCTCTTGGCAGTCCCCGCGAGTTTAACCCGTCGAGTTGAGGCTTCGCACCCCTTCGTGGTCACTTTGGAGACCTGCAGAACATCTATTTCCAAAGACTCGTTCATCCAACGAACAGTGAGGCTCTGGAACACATTGCCAAGGGAGGTGTTCCCCGAGGCATATAACTTCTAGAAATTCAAGAAGAACACCAATTCCCACCTTATTTCTCTTGGTTCTCACGATGTTCTCTGAACATTACAGGATATCCCTTTTCGTAGGAACCAGAACATAAAAAAAAATTATATAAGTAGTCAAATTGGTGCTGTTCCAAGGATTAGCTGTATTTGATATCGTCGATAATTTTTCGTCAAAAAAACATACACGAAATTTGACACACTGAGAACATCTACGTATTGATCCTATGGTATTTTTTTTTATAATAAATAATACCAGAAGACACAAGATATGCCATAAAGTAAAAGTATAGTCCGGCCTCCAGCGCAAACCGAGTGCAAGTAAACAATGAAGAACCCGCTCTTTTGCTGATGTGAACTGGTCCAAATCAAGATGGAAATGGATATATTTCGTGTAAGTTCACGGCTACACACAGGGTGTGGTGTTTGTATAAATTCAAATTATTTTCGGTGTATTGGCATTCTGAACTTGAACAGCAAACCAGCAACATGTTCGTAAAACTGGTAAGTCATCAGACTAGAAATTTGAAGAAAAATACAAAATGTGTGCCCCTGGTCGGGATACCAAACTCCACTTTTACTATCGGTGACGGTTGATATAGTTGGTGCTCTAAGTTCGTGGGTGAATATGTGCAGTGCTCGAAATAGAAAGGGTGTTTTTATCAATTTCCAGTGAGGGATGGGGATTGGTTGAATGTGATAATTCTGTCCAACTACTTTCTTAATAATATTTTGCGAAGAAATGAAAATTAATTTTAGTTAACTTAGAAGTGAACCAAAATGAAATTTTGAGCTAGTTAAGTTTTTAGAGATCTTAGATAGAATGTTTAGATGCTGAACCCCTGTTCTCATTTATTTCAATTATAGTATACCGAGTGGCTACGGAAGTATTGCCTACGGAATATCTCAGTTATTGTATGAAGTAGGTTTGTGAAATTTGAAGCGTCGATATAATGACATAAGAGCTAGAATTTAAGCATATTGACATGTCGAAGTTAACTTCCGGTCTGACCGGAAGTAACATCAACTTTCTTATTTTAAATAGAAACCCTATTTTTTTTTCTCTTCGCTTTATTCAGCATTCAATTCCCTTTCTAATGACATATCACAAGTTGATATCTAACCAGAAACTAGATCATAAAAAAATTATTATTCAAATTCACCGAGTCGGCCGTGGAAGCAAAATAAAAGCCAAAAAATGACTTTCTATTATATCATTAGAAAGGAATGGTTATGCTGAATAGTACAGGCAAGAAAAAGTTGTATGTTCCTATTCAAGTTATGGACCTACAGAGTATTGTTTTTTTCCCAATTTTTCCAATATTTTTTTTGGCGGCTTTTTATAACGCCGACGAATGAAAATAAAATATCACAGTAGTAGCAACTGTCATCAAGTGACGTATGGTTTCCATAGTCAACTTTTCAATTTTTGGCTTTCATTTTGCTTCCACGGCCTACTCGGTGAATTTCAATAATTTTTTTTTTCTGTTCTAGTTTCTGGTTGGATACCAGCTTGTGATAAGTCATTAGAAAGGGAATTGAATGCTGAATAAAGCGAAAAGAAAAAATAATAGGGTTTTCATTTAAAATAAGGAAGTTGACGTTACTTCCGGTCAGACCGGATGTTAACTTCGACATGTCAATATGCTCAAACTCTAGCTCTTTTGTCATTATATCGACGCTCCAAATTTCACAAACCTACTTCATACAATAACTGAGATATTCCGTAGGCAATACTTCCGTAGCCACCCGGTATATGACTAGGTATAAAAAAATAACAATAAGTTCACTTTGTAGTTGATAGATATCAAATACGCACCTGATAATATTAACTCTCATAATATACATAGTGATTTGCATGATGAATTGTCTCTTTTTCAAACAAGGGTCTTATTTTTCACTGCAATTGCATTCAATAATGTATAAAAATGAATTGTCAAAAAATTAATTTTACAAAAACAAAAATCCTAATATAGGAAGTTCCCTAATATTTCCGGTTTATCGTATAGATTTCTTCGCTGCATATTGTAGCGCTTGAGACCATGAATAAATTTCCTTCATTCAACCAACTCCCTGTGTTCTCTTGAGAACTCTATAAGTGAGATGGCATATGAGTTATGAGCCTTAGAATTGTTTGGGCAATTGAACTTAATTTTATTAATAAGTATACCAATTGACAAATTCATCTTCTTTGTAGGGTATTATTGGAATTTCTAAGAGTTACAATTTTACAACTTATACAAAACAAGGATCCATCTATATGTGGCATTTCCCAGTGAACACATCAGTTTTGCTAAGATCATATTTTCGATCGCAAGCGAATACTTTTGTTGAAAAAAAAAAATAACAGTACTCAAGAGATCGTTGAATTATAGCTTAGTAGAGTTTCAAAATGAACTATTCATCTTTATCTTGCATGCAATTAGAGTAATTGGCAGATAGAAATTGCAATTAGACTAACTGCCAAATATGTCAATTATGCCTAATTACAAAATAAATTCTCATTTTACTTACTTGATTTTTTGGGATTTTCTCTCCTCGTTTCTATAAAATAAAAATATTCTTATTATTTCAATATGTTGGGGACAAATCAGATGATTCGCCCCAAAATGTCACTGCGTTTAACAAATTATTCTATCAAGAAAAATCCAGTATAGCTTGTCAGTGATACTTTGTTTGAAACAATTTTTGAAGGAAAGAAATTTAGATATATTGAAAAAATATCGAATTTTTACTTATCTTTGGACGTTTCGGAAACGAATCTGCTCCCGTTCTCAACATAAAAATGCGAAATATTTTTCTTTGGAAGTTAAGCTCTGCTCATAGTTTGACACTTTTCAGTGTCATACTGATGTTGGCATATGAATGAGTGATTTTAGTCTTAAAATGAGTTACAGGATGTTTTCATTGATTGATCTTGAATCTACCATTTTCATGTTCAGTTTTCAGTAGTGAATACCATATTCTATCTATATCAAGAAAGCAATGCTATTTACTCCGTTCAGAAGAATGCAAAGAATTCCTTGATTTTTCTTTTTTGGTTGTAATCTTCTTTTCCTATGATTTTGATATTATTTCCAAAAAATTAATTGAAATCAATATACTACCTCCTCGATCAACTTACAGACAGTATTTCACAAAATAAATCTTGCTATTAGCTTAATTGATAGAAAAGTTTTGTAATTATTTTTATCTGATGGCATGTCATAATGACAACGTTATGTCACTCAATTTTGATGACATAAGGAAGCTCATTATGGGTACCATAATGAATTCATTATGGGACTAAGAACCATATAATGAATTCATTATGGTACTAAGTACCATCATGAAATTCTATAAGGAAAACATGTAATGGTTTGATCAAAAAAGTTCATTCAAAATGCATAACTATGTACAAAACTATTTATTATAAATGGTAAAAGAACAATTACTACAATTTGTAATATTAATATAATGGCAAAGCACAGCTCACTCACCTACTAATATTTGAAACTACACAATACTTACTCCTTTAAAAATAGTTGTCATTGTGACATGTCGAAAATGCAGTTTTTAATTTTTCGAAAATGTATTGATATAAATGCCATCAGATAAAATTTTGTATGTAATACGAATCATAAACAATCATTATGGCACACGCCGTGTTATCGGACTCGGCTACGCCTCGCCCGATAACATTCACGACTTGTACCATGATGATCGTCTTTATGATCGTTATTACATAAATAACTATAATTTTCCACGAAAAATGATTTTTTCGCGTTATTTCCGGTCAGCGCCTTTATAGTGGTGACTCCATAGTTATGTGAACAGCAATTTTTTTTTGAAAATTCGCTATAATTAATATCAGTTCCTCCAAAAGAAGAAACAAACCCTTGATTTTTTTCTGTATCCAGGCAGTCATCGCTTGCTCTCTAGCCCTCGCCTCAGCGGCATACAACGGTCCCCTAGCAGGAGGTCAACCTGCCGACCTATTCCCAGCAGGAGTCGACCCGAAAGCCTGCCCCAACTTCCCCGTATGCTCCAACCCCGCTGTCGCTGTCAACCAGGTGCCCGTGCAAGAGTACCCCCAGCAGTACCAGCCCCAGCAGTACCAACCTCAGCAGTACCAAGCTCAACCTCAGCACTACCAAGCTCAACCCCAACAGTACCAAGCTCAGCCGCAGCAGTACCAGTCCGCTATCAACCAGTACAACCCGGTGCTTCCTCAGCAGTACGCTGCTCAGCAGAGCCAGGCTCAGTACAGCCCCGAGCTGCAGAATGCTTTGGACAGGGGAGAGTACATTGGGGATGGTGATTACCACGGAGAAGGTCTCGCTGAGGCTTTGGCCCCTGGACATGGTGGTAAGTGGAAGGGAGTCTGCCTCCACACCGCAACCTTTTCAGATCTATATATCGCTCTTAAAATCGTTTAAAGTTCTTTGGGTACCCCAGCCTTCTCTATGAGACTCCATAGGATAGTTGTCAGATCCCCTCTGTATCCTTGGGATCTTGATTTTCCTCTCCCAGCGTGAGGAACCTTAGTCTTGACATGCCCTTACAGTGGTAAAGTATGTGTCCTCTGCTGTTTCCTCCGCTTCCTGACAGAAGCTGCACAGCAGTTCTTCAGCCAGACCTATGGTATGTGTTTATTGAGCCTACAGCCCTGTGAGAAGTCTCACTAGTATCCTAGTTGAACTTCGTTTCTGGCTCAGTAGATATTCTGTGAATGTTGGCGATTGTTTTTTAATAAACTCCTTTGCCTGTCTTATTCCTGGTTCTAAGTTCTTGCACCATTCATCAGATTTGGTTAGCATCCATGATTTGATGCTTGTCTTTTGTATAGCTTTCACAGTACTCCAAATTGGTTCTGGACCATTCAGAGCTTCACTTGCTCCTGCTCGGGCAAGTGAGTCTGCCTCTTCGTTGTCCCACGTATCCTGAATGTGCTGGTACCCAAGCTAGAGTCAGTCTGTTCTGACTGCCCAATTCATTCAGGGTTTCTTAGCAATCCCAGACTAGGTTTGAGTCAACTTGCATTGTGTTGACTGCTTTGATTGCCGCTTGGCCATACTTACATATTGCTAAACTCTACAATCTGGTTCATCAACAATAGAAGGGAAATTTAGTATTGCTAGACCATGGGTTGAAGTTTTCATCTCCTTTTTTCTTCTTCAAACAGACCGACGACGCGCAGCATTATGTTTTTTGCTGGATCTGCTTTAATTGAGTTAATGAGATACTATACCTATATGAAACATTTCAAAGCCTACCAAGTGTCGATGTATTATATCATCTAATTCATGTCACACCCATCTTTGTCTTTTTGAATAAAAAGCAATTCAACAGTGAATTGAGAAACAAATGCCACATAGGGATACATGGCTGAATAGAGAACTTGAAGACGAATAAAGAAGACTTAGAAAATAAACAGGGTGCCATATGGAAAAAAAAAAAGTTGGGATCACTTCCGGTAAAACAGGTGGTTTGTTTGTTTTCAGAAAAGTGACTATCCCTTCAACTTCCTCCATCGAAATTTGTAAAGTTTTTGATTGTATGCAAGTAGATCAGGTACTTCGCATAACCTCAACAGTTTTTGCATCATTTTTACTATGGGTCCATATACTCAAGAGAAGACTTAAGAATCTCCATCAATTTGGAATCAACAGTAAAATTAACTCATTGATGTTCAAGAGGGATTATTTGGAAATATTTTCGACACAAATGACAATCATCACGTAAAGCTTTTCCCACTTCACGTTTACCTGATCTCGACCACCTAATGTGGTAATTTCACTAGATTATTTCGACACTAAATGATTCAGTCATTCATACCTCATAGCAACGACAGCACCCCAGGGAGAAATGGAAGATTTGGATACGCCAAATCAGCGCGCTAGAGCCATCTCCGTTATATAACGGCATGTTCTCCTGCTACCATTTTATTATACCAATGGTAAATCCGTCTGATAAAACAAACTACTGGCTCTGCAGTGTCAGTGATCGAGCAGAAACGCTACTCACATGCCGATGCAGGCAAGATATCCTCCCACTTGACCCAAAGTGGGATTCTTCCTTACCTTCTCTACCGTAGTCCGATGGTAGTTTTTGGAAACCTCTGCTTCCTGGAGTCCAACCCAATTGGTGAGGTATCAAGTCGTAAGTACGACCTGAAGGGGCTATCCTCATCATCCAAGGTACCCATATCAACAAGATTCCTCTTGTTACGTTTGATGGGTCGCCGTCGCAAGAGGCTTTGGCCTGATTGCTACTCATGTTGACAAGAATCCTCTCGTCCCGTTGAATGAGTGATCGTTCGAGGACTTTTACACGTTCCTCTACCTCGTTAACAGGAGAGGACCCGGCTTTGCCTACGATGCCAGTCATTCATATTGTAAACTGTGAGATTCATTTTTTTCTTTCAGCTCCTCAGCAGAGAGCCTACAACCCTGCTCCAGCTTACAACCAAGCCGCCTACAGCCAGCCACAGGCAGTACCCCAGTATGATGCGAGAGCCTATAACCCAGCCCAGTACAACCAGGCCGGAGCCCATGCGATCCCAGCGCAGATCCCAGCAGGCGTGGATGCAAGCGCGTGCCCAAATTACCCGTTCTGTCACTGAAAAAGTTGGTTCGACAATGTTTCGTGGAAAATTTAGCTAGACTGCCAGTTGACAACATGTTGTCCGAATTTGTTTCCTAATTTTTTAGGTGTTTCCTGTAATATAGATAAAATTGTGTATAATTTGTTTTATACAAAAGTTATTTAATTAAAAACACTCTAAGAAAAACCAATCCTCTGATTTTATTTGAAGAAACCAAATATTTTAGTTAGTAAAGATTACTGTGTCCAGACATTGTCGTTCTAGATTACAACCTAGTTAGGTAGTTAGTATACAGGCAAGAGTATACCTTCTCGCGTACTAGGTCGCCTACTAGGTTTTCATTTATATCGACAATGGCCCAGATAACACAAAGACGTTTTCATAAGCTTTTGATGAAGTTCTAAATTGCACTGATGATATCAAGAGGCATTCGCAATGCTAGGACGTCCATACCTGTTACCATTTTCTACATGCAAATGACGTCACAGAAAATCCCTAGAGAAGTGCTGAAGACGTTTCAGGAACTTATCATCCCGCAATCCACGAGGGTCGACCGGAAGACGTTTCACACACCTTGTGAAGAAAGAGAATTTCTGATGATTATTAAATAAAGCATGAGTATCCCGGGGAACGAGGAAGCAGGAGGAGGAACGACACCCATTGGACCAGAACCGATACTGGAAATAACCCAATAGCATGGAAGAAAATGCTACAGAGACAGTTCCCCAAAACATGGCGGAACACACCAGGACCGAGACAATTAAAGCTCCATATAAAGGACACAACCACCTCAACAGGTACCTGGAGCCTTGCCTGGAGCTCATAGGGATCAAAGATGATCCCATCTGCAGATGGTGCTTGGAGGATGATGAAACATCATCGCGCATACTTCCTGAATGCCCTGCGCTGGTGCATCAGAGGAAAGCTGCCTTTGGGAGCATCGTATTGCACTTAAAGGATGAAATAGTGATTCAGCTGAGGAAGCTGCTGAATTTCGTCAAAGAAATTGGCATGCCCAGCTGTTTCATAGAATACGTGGGCGCACAATAATGGACCCGACTGAAGAGGCATGAGTTAGGGTCTATACACCCGCTCATCCGTGCACAGAAGAAGAAGTACATCAACTATTATTCCATTATTTCTTGTATTTGGGACAGTTCACAAGCTCTATAGATCTAAATGAAGAATCTTCATATCACATAACCATCAACAGCAACAACATACGAGTTACTTATTGAGAACAAGGAACAAACAGGACTCTGACAAACTACTGGAACTCAGTAGAGCACATCTCAGAGTTATATTTGGTAATCGGACTTGCACAAGAGGATGAAACGGCTAAACACAGTTTAGGGCCAGAAAATCTGATAAATTGTTCTCCCAATGTCTCCAGAGACTAGATATACTGGGAGAAATATAACCATAGGGTGAGCCACAATAAGCCATTGGCCGCAGTGGATGGCCTGACATGGGCCCACTCACGTATAAACCTAACCTAAACCTACTTATTGAGCTCAATCCTATAACAAGACCTTATAATAGTGAGAGTACCAGTTATTTTTATTTGCTATATCAATCATTATCATAGTCGAACAATAAGAGTACCTTTTTTATGAATAGATCTCACAATTTCTGTGATGAAATTTGAAAAATAACAAAAAAGTGCGGACTGATGCGAAGAATCAACCGTACTGATGAATTTCACTCTTTTATCTCAACCGTTTCGAAATAAATTATAAAAACAATCTTCAGGCGGCATATGGGATGTAGCTCCCCTAAATAGAATACATTTTTCGCCACATGTTCATTTTTCTGATCTAGAAATCTACTGCCAATGTATTGCACTGCACGTTGATTATGGGACAGCCAGTATAGTAAACGCATGCCCTTGTACGGTTTAAAGTACTTCTCGTGAAGAAATAAAGAGATGAATCATGTAATGAAAAAGATTTATAATTGATTTTAAGATGGGCGATTATTACAAATCCACCTGTGGTTGATTTCATTCAACACAAGGAAACAGCATTTCATCGAGGTAACTAGAGTAGAAATAAAATGAAATGTTAACATGAATTAAGAGTGGAGAAATGGGGTCCTTCTAATATCTGACACGCCACTGGTAGAAACGTATTCATACTACATGGATATTTTCTCTGAAAGTAGTACTTTTTCCGTAAATTCTTCAAAAATTGAAAAGTCAGGAAGTGCCCAATTCGTACATCCGTGCATCAGAAAAATAAAAGATATTTATGTAAAAACTTCACAAACTATAAGATTTCCACAAAATTCTCAAACACACGACATATTTCGCTAACACAGTAGCTTCGTCAGGTGATATACTGGTACAATGGTTCATGGTGGAAAAGGTGTAAGGTTTTATATTCTGAGAATATTCAAATCAGTCCATTCCGAATGTTCATGGAACGTCCCTAGAATATGTGTTCATTTTTGTGGGAATATTCAAATATTCTCGGAGAATATATCCTTCACGGAAGTTTTATGACTGACATTTGGGCTATCGGGGTAGTTGTTTCTCACATCAAAAAACAATAACCTTAACAAAATTCTTTGGCGTTCAGACGCCGTTTTGAAAAATTATTTCAATTGGAATCAAATTATAGCACTTGAACTGTCATTGAAGCAAAACAATATTAAAAAAAGACCCCAAAAGTTAACTAGGGGAGATGGGGCTAACTTTGGGAAAACAAGGTAATTAAATATACTTAAGTAACTCATGACAATTCAATTCCTAAATCCTACGTAATCGAGAATTGCAGTTCGAATGAGCTAGGTCACAGTCTCACAATATAAGGAAAGCCTCACCTACGGCAGGTATTTCAACTTTTTTCCTCAAGATATAGACTATTTTTTCCGATTGCTGAATATTTACCGTGGCAATGAAGTGTGCAGGGACCTTGGCAGGCAATGTGACAGAATGATAATGGCCAATCAAGTGGAAAACAGTTTTGCGTCACCCAGATTTGCCCGGAGTTTACCCCGCACTACAGGGCGATTCCAAATATCCGCAAATAACTATAATCATTGGTTATAAACTACTCAACACTAATTTCGTCGCACACCAAAATGTCGCCCCTGTTATAATGTGAATATTTTTCTTCAGTTCACAACAATTTGAATTTGGTTCACACTGTTCGATAGCCCAGTCCTTCAGCTATAATCTCGTACTTCATTGAGACATAAGGGTATTCACATAAAATCTCTACATGGTGTTTTCCGACACTGTGCAAAATTTCGGAATATTCAAAAGGCTCTCAAATGGTGAAAAAATTTTTTTTCTCAACTTCGACAACAGAGGCATGAAGATGATCTCATTACCTCGAGATGTTTCGCGAATCAACTTCCTATCTCTCTTATTTACAGAGTGATCTCAAAAAATCAACTTTTTGGTTTTGCAGCCATAACTTTTTTTCACTTCAACCGATTCTGAAAATCTTAGGCTCATTTTGAAGATAAAACTTCAGATGAAGAGATCTGAACATCATAATTGACCCAAGATGGCTATCAAAGATCTAGAGTTTTCTTGAAAGTGACCCAAATCTGGAACGCCCTCCGAATCTCGGTTGGGAAGAGAATTGAATGAAAATCAACGTGTTCTCGGAAAAACAATTCATTCTGGATGCGTCCATATTTTCCTCGTTCTCAGTAGTCAAGAATGTGCGTGAGAAAACACAATTGAAACATGTTCTTGCAGAAACATCAGACCATTTCTTCTCTGTAATGCATGGCTCGTAACCAACGTTACAAGAATCAGAGTAAGTGACAGACAAGTCAGGTTAGAGGTCGTTTTCGAATCATAAACCGATCTCGATAGTTTCGATGCCGCATCTAACGCGAATGTGGGTGACAACTTTGTTTTCGTTGATGACAATGCGAGACCGCATAGGGTTGTTGGTACACCATTCATGATGAGCCTTAGCTGGTCGGGTTTGTCAGTCCATTGTGATTCTTGTAACGTTGGTTACGGGCCATGCATTACAGAGGAGAAACGGTCTGATATTTTTGCAAGAACATGTTTTAATTGTGTTTTCTCACGCACAATTCTTGACTACTGAGAGCGAGGAAAATATGGACGCATCCAGAATGAATTGTTTTTCCGAGAACAAGTTGATTTTCATTCAATTCTCCTTCCAACCGAGATTCGGAGGGCGTTCCAGATTTGGGTCACTTCCAAGAAAACTCTAGATCTCTGATAGCCATCTTGAGTCAATTCTGATATTCAGATCTCTTCATCTGAAGTTTTATCTTCAAAATGAGCCTAAGATTTCTAAAATCGGTTGACGTGGAAAAAAGTTATGGCTGCAAAACCAAAAAGTTGATTTTGAGATCACTCTGTAAATAAGAGAGATAGGAAGTTGATTCGCGAAACATCTCGAGGTAATGAGATCATCTTTATGTCTCTGTTGTCAAAGTTGAGAAAAAAAATGTTTTCACCATTTGAGAACCTTTTGAATATTCCGAACTTTTGCACAGTGTCGGAAAACACCATGTAGAGATTTTATGTAAATACCCTTATGTTTCAATGGAGTACGAGATTATAGCTGAAGGACTGGACTATCGAACAGTGTGAACCAAATTCAAATTGTTCTAAACTGAAAAAAGTTTTTCACATTATAACAGGGGCGACATTTTGGTGTGCGACGAAATTAGTGTTGAGTAGTTTATATCAAAATTCGATAGTACAATATAAAGACGCAACCATCACCATCAAAAATAGCAAGTTGTGTTTCAGAATGGATTTTGGGACATATAATAATATCATCTTTGTTGGGGATTCTCACTTCTGTTTATATATAGAGTGATGCAAACCTTTTAGAAGCTGACAGGAGAAGCCATTATTTCGAACATATTCAACCACACTCACCTCAGCACAAGAAGAATCAACACGTTTTCGATATTATTGCAATTTTTGAGATCTTCTAAAGAAAATTCGCGGTAAAACTTAGAAATTCAATGTAGGTCGTGTCGATATTAAAATATTAGCAGTATTATCAAACAGCAATAATACATATAGCAGAGTAACATACAGAATTGAAAAGAATGATTGTTTTATTAGGGTCAAAAGTGACACTTTGTTCGACAAGCGAATTTTGCATTTGCGAGGCCGAACGAAAGCAAAACCGAAACAATTAACTAAAATGAATATGTGGAGTAACCACCCATGTGACTTATTACTTGACAGATTATTATAATACCTTAATTAAAATAATATAGTTAAGTAGATAGAAGCAAGACCTCAGAATACTTTACATTAGTATATTGGTGGACGATGACTTTAGTTTACAATTTGGGTTGACATGCATCATCAGATACTACAGCCACGAATTCAATACTATACCCGAAACGTGGATGTCCTGCCATATGTGTATACAATGCAACAAATAATCCGTGTGGTGAGAATATTCTACCTGCATTTACAGATCAGGTTTATTCAATTTTCAAGGATGTTCGAATTGTAGTTTCAATATAAACAACTACAGAGTGACCCATTTGTGTATTCTATTGAATTGATGAAATCATTTGGATCAGGTGTCAGCCCTGATAGCAAATACCGCGCCAAGTGCCAGGTATAGAAAGAAGAAGTGGAAAATGTTAGGTCAATGAGCATCCACTGTGCTTGGCTCGGTAATCAAACGAAGGTAAACAACATCGCTGTGTGAGACAAAAAAGTATTGCTGACCGTGATTATTCAATCAATCAGATCCCGAGAATGAATGAAATATAGATCAAGCAAGTATGTGAACCTTGAAGGCTTTCCTGATCAAAACAAAAATACTTAACTATAATATGGTGTACTTATATTTCCAGCATGGGTATGAAATGCCAAATCTGCCGAAATCGGGAACAAATCAGGTATGCGTCCCAACCCAAATAACCAACCATAACAATTCTTGATGACCTAGTACATCCTTCTTAGTTCCTAGGAGCTAAAGTTCAACTTTAGCTCCTGGGAACAAGAAGTGTTGCCTAGCAACATACCTGTGTTTGTGTCAGTAATAGGAACGTCAATTCAAGAGCTAATTTTAGTATTAAAATGGACGACTTTTGTGTGGTTGCAGAAAAAAAAAACATTTCTCATCACGTGCTATCGGGATTTCGAGGTGTTAAAATTTTTTTATATTTTAATTTTATCTACGTGGCTCTGTAGTTCGTTCCGAGATTGGTTCTTCGTTACTTTACTTACTCAATAATATGTTCTGAAGGAATGTTAAAAAAATTGGCTTTCAGGAGTTTCATGGAAAATAGTCTTTATGAAAAATTATACCATTATACCATCTTTCTTCAATGATTCAAACTTTTTTTCGATATATCATGCGTTGGCCATTTGAAAATCGATCACGAGAAATAGTAAAATTTGAATTTTTTCCATAAATGGAACTGAAATAAAAAATGATATGACAGTCACAACCACAGTATTTAATCAAATTCAAATTTTACACTCTGGCAAACTAAGATCCATACAGTGAGACAGTAGAACAATATCTTGAATTCACCATCAACAGACACGAAATACTATTATTTCAATCTGTCATAATTTCAAAATTTCATTTGAACCCATTAGAAGTTGAGGTTGAGTTGAGTTGAGTTTTTACTTGGTGGTGGTATTTGGGTATTTTTTTGTTCTTGAAACGTGAAGATTAAATACCACTTTATGGTATCTGGATTCGAATTTACTGGAGAATTGTCTGTGGTCAGCTATAACTGTTTTGCCTTGACTGTTCGAAACAAAAATCGCCCTGTAGATCGCCTTCGATATTTTCTTCTAGCATGTGTGGGATCGGTATTAAAAATATCATTACTGTTACATTTCTATGAATCGGTGGGGTGTGGTCCCTATATATAAAAGCAAACTTCACCTTTGCGACTCACTTAAGGTAATTAAGAAAATTAAGACAACATGTTCGTAAAACTGGTAAGTAGAGTGATATTGACACAGCAAAAGTGATTTTTTGAGGGGATCTATAGTGGTTTTTGCGTATTGTGAGGAGTGTGTGCCTTTGGACTGAAGTGGAAAATTCGGATTTTTGTGGAAAATAATGTGATAACAAAGAGTGTTTTCGAAAAAAAGTGGAATAATTCTACAATTTTAATTTACAAGCGATTTTATCATATATCGAGATTATGAAGGACCCACTGAAGAGCCTTGCGGCATACCTAATATTAGCGCGTTTTCTTATCAATAGTTGATTTGGTATCTATGTTATTGCCTATATTATTAGTGACCGGCATCAGATATTTTGATACAATTAAAAATATTTGCATTCAAAATTTCTCACCAAATTGTATTCTTCATAAAAGTGTCACAAAACTCGAAATGGAAACAAGTGGTATTAATTGTGAAATCCTATCTTTCAAATCCATAAACGATGTTTAATGAGAAATAATTCAATTCTAATATTGAATGGAAACGTGCAAACAAGTTTGACTACCTCTCAACTAGCCAAATCATTTATCCTTCTTCGGATTCCATCAATCTTGCTATATCACCCTGTATATTCTTCCTCTCGTCTTTTTTTTCTGCAACTACAAGGAAAGTTGCTGTGATTCAATCTCGAACACTATGCAAGTTGATCAAAGTGTTGTGCTCGGTGTTCCTGTAATAATATTTATCAAATATTGTTGCCAAACACTCTGTATATGAACAATATAAGAATTCATACAATAAAGATCACAATAACTCATTCAAGAGAAAATCTGTGATATTTGAGCTACAAATAAGAATATTTCTGGTCAGTAGTACAAATTATCACGTTTTTCGAAAAAAATCTTTTTATCGGAAATCTGGAAAGATAAGAGCAAAATTGCAAAACCATTTCGAGGAATATGCTCGAGAATTATGAAAATAATAATAATAATGAAAACAAACTCAAAATTTTCCATCAAATTGAGAGTATGGAGAATTTTTCAATATTTTGCAGAGGTTTGTTTGTCACCCTGTATAGCCAGAGGTTACCATGTATTTCCATCAGCGGTATATCTCTGATATACCCAATAGACCAATCTTCAAAATAAAGGAGAAAGCATCCAAATAAGTGGAATTTTCGCGAAAATATTCAATGTTGAATTCAGAGCAAAAATGTGCTTGATGCGGTTCGATTGATCAGCAGTTTATTTTCTATACTGCAAGAGCGGCAATAAATGAGATCAGAATACGATTTTAATAAGATTATGTTGGAATTCCTTGTTCTAAGTCGGAATTCCGAGATCTAAGTTGGAATTACGAGATGTTAAGTCGGAATTTCGTTCGAAATAATAGTTATCTGTGATGGGAAAAAAATTTGGCATTTCATCTCTATTGGCAGGTCTCCCGTGGGAAAAAAGTTAGTACTTTTTTCCCGGATATATATCACATATATATACACTGTTGATGGCTTTTGTTGTGCTATAGTTCCGAAAATGAGTCAATAATACCGTCTCCGAGAAAGACCTGCAAGTCCTTTTATCTTTCATTCGACTTCGCGGTTACGTATATTACTAAACAACCACTAAATTCGCAATTTTTTTAAATCAAATCACAGAATTAGACTGACAGAAGTGACATCAGATATTTGATTACTTCAAAAGATAGTTATAATATAATAATAGTTATTTATTATTCAAGGGAAAACAGTAGTAGATTTTAGCTTCCCACGGGAAAAAAGTAATTTATGAAAAGTGACATTTTATAACCTGCCAACAGAGATGAAATGCCAAACTTCTTTCCCGTCACAGAAAAAAAAAATATTATTATTGTGGCGCTTCTACGCTTTCGTACTTTCATACTCAAGTGACTATACCTCAATTTCCATTTTCAGGCCGTATTAGCTTGCAGTCTGGCCGCGGCCACGGCTGTATGGAACGGGCCGTTGGCAGGAGGCCAGCCCGCCGATCTGTACCCGGCCGGCGTCAGCCCGCAGGCGTGCCCCAACTTCCCTAACTGCGCCAACCCCGCCATCTCCGCCAACCCCCAGCAACCCCTGGCGCAGCAGTGGGGCGCGCCGCAGCAGCAGTGGAACGCGCAGCCGCAGCCGAACCAGTGGAACCAGGGCAACCAGTGGAACCAGGTGAGAATGACCCTTAAATGCCGATGTTCTTGGGATCAACCTACATGACGGTACCTAGCTGTGACATTTTAACGCCATTATAGGTTCTCTTGAGACGTTATTTTAGGACGTCAACCTAGTCATTTTCTGACTAATAAAAAATGTTATTACCTGAGTCGACAAACTGCTGAAGTATGAGGGTAATTTCAAAGAAATGGGATTATTTCCATTCGAAAGTTCGAGAAAAAACGTTTCACTGATGCACCTGTTTGTATATACACTTATTCTTCGGCACAGCTTTTTGGATCTTCCTTTTGGCAAAGATTACTGAATTCTAGAAGACACCTCAGTCCCTGGGATTCATTGCGTTTTTTGCTTTCCCATAAATCATTGCACCGCCAAACACGCACCATCTCGACATAGTCAAAATTTAACAATAATTGAGAGTTTGAGCAGGACTTGCATTAGAATGTTCTCAAAAGTTTCGAGAAGTTTTGATGAACGCATAGAATATCTGAAATAGGAACTTCCAGAATATTGTAATCGAGAATATGCAACATTCCACTTTCGGCACACCTTTTGATGCTTTTTTGCACTCTGGATCCATCGCCAACGTACTATAAGGAAAGCTTGTGGCTCCGACGGAATCTCACCAATTGTTCTCAAGAAATGTGCTCCCAAACTATCACCTGGTCTCTGCAAGTTGTTCAACTACTCTTACAAGTTGGGGATATTCCCGTCCAACTGGAAAGTTGCAAGAGTACAACTAGTTCCTAAAAAATGCAAAAAGACCCTACCTAGCATCTACAGACTGATCGCACTGCTATATATTATTTCAAAGATCATGGAGGAAGCTATCAACTTCGAGCTCATGAAATACCCGACCTTCAGGTATTATCAACGATAGGCAATATGGCTTCCGTCATCAGAGATCAACTGGTGACCTGCTTGCTTACGTCTCACATATATGGCAGCAATCTATTGAAAAATATGGTGGAACCTTAGTCGTGGAACTTGATATCTCCAAGGCATTCGATCGAGTCTGGCACCTCGGACTCCTCGCCAAGCTTCCATCTTATGGCTTGCCTCCCCAGCTGTGTTCTCTCCTATGGTTCTCTGCTAGCTAGTTTCCTCTTAAACAGAGGTATCTCCATGTAGCGGTCGACGGAGTTTCATCTGACTCTCTTATCAGAAATGCTGGTGTTCCACAAGGATCAATTCTAGCACCAACAGTATATATCTACTCCATATGAACGATTTGTTGAGAGCAACTTCATGTCCAGTACACAGCTTCGCGGATGATAGTACGTTCCATATCACCTTCTCTTCCAGGGCTCCAATACCAGCCAGGTAAATCAGAAACGAACGAGGAAGAAATGTTGACAACATAAATATGGAACAATTCTCGAATGGGGATCCAATAACTTGGTAGATTTCAATGCAAACAAAACACAAGCATGCCTTTTCTCTAGAAAAGCCGATCTCACTGTGCCCAACATAAGCTTGTCAGGAGTAACCATACCTTTGAAGACATCCATTTCGATGCTTGGTATTACTATCAGCAATAACCTTTCTTGGGAAAATTACGTGAGATCAATTGCTAAAAGTGCTTCCCGAAACCTTGGTTTTCTGTTTAGGGCCAGGAGCTATTTCACTTTCAGTGAGCTGCTTATGATCTATAAGGCACAGATCCGACCTGTCCTGGAATACTGTTACCATATTTGGAGTGCAGCACCCAAACATATCCTGAAACTGTTGGATTCTATCAAAAAAAGGGCAATTCGTCTCGTGGGTGATGCCTCGCTCACAAACTCACTCATTTCTCTGGAACACCGTAGAAAAGTTGGCGATCTGGCTCTATTTTATATATATTTTCATGGACGATGCTCTTCTGAAGTATCAACAATTGTTCCTTCCATATTGGCAGTCCCCGCGAGATTAACCCGTCGAGTTGAGGCTTCGCACCCCTTCGTGGTCACTTTGGAGACCTGCAGAACATCTCTTTCAAAAGACTCGTTCATCCAACGAACAGCGAGGCTACTGGTACTGGTACTGGTACTGGTGGGGGACGTTTCCACGTCAGCAACTAGTCCCCAATGGGACCTTTTTGCCAACCCCAAGTGTTTTCAATGACTGATGTGGTTCGCTCAAGAGAGCTGGCTAACATCCTTTTCAGGCACCGCCCCTCAGCTCTCTTTTTCAGAGTTTTTCAGCTGTGTTTTGTAGGCTAGTAATGTACTCACTACCATATGCGCAGTGGCAGGCCTGCTGACTATCATCGTTAACCCCCGAGACCGAGGTCTACTTAAGCAGCTGGCCCGCTCTCACGCTCAGCTGGTAGTTTTTCCACACCCACCTACATACATGTACTCACTACCATATGCGCAGTGGCAGGCCTGCTAACTATCATCGTTAACCCCCGAGACCGAGGTCTACTTAAGCAGCTGGCCCGCTCTCACGCTCAGCTGGTAGTTTTCTATACCCACCTACATACACCGTCCTACTTCTTCTCTGATGCTCACAACCACATCATCATATCTTTCTGCGTGTTCTGTGTAGGCTTTGTTACTAACTCCATGCGCCACTTTAGGAGCAGCACTGTTAATTGGAACGCAACAGCGAATCGTGCAGGACTATCCCCAGCCGATGCTCCGAAACTTTACAATATTTAATTCGTAAATAAAATATTGAAAAAAGTTCCTTGCCCGTGCTGGAAATCGAACCCACGACCTTGCGGTCGTGAGACGGACGCTCTTCCACTGCGCCAATCCCGGCCCCCAACAGCGAGGCTAGCTATAACCTTCAGAAATTTGAGAAGTACACCAATTCCTACCTTGTTTCTCTTGGTTCTCACGATGGTCTCTGAACATTACAGGATATCCCTTTTCGTGGGAACCAGAACATAACAAAAAAATACCTTTTGGAACCCTGTGCTGTACACACCCTCTCGATTCACTGTCTAAATCAGAATATTATTTCAAGGAATTAGGATAATTTTCAGTTTCATGAATGTAGAAGTTCCACATATTCCAGTAGGCCAAAGACTTGACACGACGACGCTTTCTTGCTAACTTTCTGGACACACCTTTTTAACACAGTCACAATCCAAAATAGTAATTTTCCTAACAAGTGCGGAAAGTGATTCTTTCCCGCACGTGACTGCCGTTGACACGAACGACGCGAAGCGGAGTTCGGGCAAGCAGTCGAGTGCGGGAAAGACACTTTCCGCATGAGTTAGGAACAATATTTTTTCTACAAGCGTAGGAAATTGATTGAATCGTTCAATTAATTATTCAAGCAAATAGGAACAACTAACAAGAGATATATATTCTCTATCTATTAATTATTAGTAATAGCTATTGTGAACTTACAGTTTGACGCATTATGTTGGTTCATTGCGGAAGCCAGCAGGCCCATTAGGAGTTTGGTCTCTAGGTTCCAGACACTTCTATGGAATGAGCCAAAAATACATATTCTTCATTCGGTTTTTTCATTTCTTTATTGTTGCACCATTCAATTAAACGCGTGTATAGCTTCTCATACCTTTCTTAAGACTTCGTTGGTGATATTAACGCATCTGTATCAAATCCCTATAGCTAGAAGTTTTTGATCACATTGTGGCATTTCCACTGAATCGAAAATGACAGTAACGCTGTGTCTGTCACTTCGACAATTTCGAACTTATTTGAGGTTTGATTGGCATGACAAATTGACGTTTCCCGTCAGATCAATCCAAATCTATAGGGGGATTTTTATAATAATCCATTTTTATTTCTCAATATTTCTTAATTTTTACAATAAATAGTGCAATTTGATGGATGATTCTAAACATACATACTCAATACTGCAACAAACAATATTAAACTTTTATATTCCATCACCAACCACTTATATTACTAGCGATTATGTCATATCTTTGTTTTCCCGCACTAGTGCGGGAAAAAATTTCCCGCACTAGTGTGGGAAAATTTTCCCGTACTGTTGCGGGAAAATGACACTTCCCAAACTATATTGCGTGCGGGTATAGGGTGAATCACGCACGCTTGTAGAAAAATATTTTTAAGGCAATGGCTAACTACCAATGAGTACTGAGTAAAAATGAGCTGATTTTTTAGGGTAACCAATGGAACCCGGCCCCAGTTCCCCAACAATGGGGAAACGGCAATGACGCTACTGCCAGGCTAAACAGAGGTGAATACATTGGAGATGGGGACTACCACGGAGAAGGTCTTGCTGAAGCTCTTGCACCAGGCTACGGTAAGTCTTGCGGCCATAAATTTTCGAATTGTGCGTTTTATAAGCTTATTTTATAGCTACATGGGATGTATGACGAAATCGTTGATTGTTCATATGCCATACTTTTTAGCTAAATATTTCAAGTTTTCGTGAAATTTCCACATATAGTATTCAGAAATGGATTTAGAATTTCAGATATATAAAATATATTCAATATAAACTTGTGTCCGGAAATGCTATCGGTTCCGAGATAAAGGGTATTGGAATTGATTTTTTTTGTTCGCTTTTTGAAACTAACTTTTTTAAAAAATAAGTTATTTGCACGAAATTTGGTACCCGGATTTTTTTTGACGTATGAAATCATAATGTTGTACTAATTCGCATTAAACATCTAGAGGGAGCTGCTACGCGCTGTCAAATTGCCCTAACATTTTTGACAGTAATTCCTCAACAGCGCTGGAGGTGATCGTTTTCGAGATATTTACAATTTCGTATATCAATGCATATGTAACTCCTATATATGTAGGTCGCTAAGTGAAAGTTGCTGAGGACATTACAAAAACGAAGTATGTGTAGATTCCGTCAAAATAAACAACTTTTTTCCAATGGAATGTTCATTGAAAAATTATTCGTTTCCTGTATCAACACACACCAAATTAGGCCGATTGAAATTCAATTCAATCTTTGAGTATTCACACTTAATCAAGGTTTCAATTCATTTATTCACCCGAAATCTTGAACTGAAATTTGGAAATGTCCAGCTCCCAAATCATATGATGAAGAGCTTGTGAATTGGCAAACATTATTATTGCGGTCAATAACTCAACACAAATGAGATAGAAACGAGCAAAACATGATAATCCTAACATCATAAATGAATCTTGTTATTCATCTCGAAAAACAAGGAGAATATTAAAGAAACTGCAGTTAAAAAAATATCAAAATGTGGTCAGTGCGATGCCGTACTCCAAAAACATTGAGTACAATATGTTTTTTCAAAGAGAATGCGAAATAATAACTCTCTGTATATTGATTGAAATGGTACATGTATTCCATGCACATTCTCTATAGTAAATTGCCCTACGAATTTCATAGCAGTATCTCACAAGTATTTCGAAATATTGAAGAAAATCTGAAAATAAAATTGCTCTTCATCGCCCTCCAATGGGCCTATTTTGGTATCTACTTCACCCTGTGTAGAATTCATGGTACTTTGTTCTGGGACACATTTTATATCCCCAGTTTCAGTCTTATCATTGAGTATATAATCGAGGGTCTTATGTAGTAATAAACTATCTATTCGCGATAAAAAAAATAAGCGTATGCCACCTATCGGGAGTTCTTGAAAGTTTCCTTTTTTTATTGGTTCACATTCGCTCAGAAGTGTTCAAGTTGTCGCCGTCAGATGGGGCGACGTGTTATTTTCTATCAAGGTTGGTAGAACTGATGATTATTCGTGAATGGGCAAATTCCTTAAAATAAAAAGGTACAACGATCAAAAAAGTACTAGATCTAGTTTTTTTTACGAAAATTAAAATTTGTTGTTTATTTTTTAGCCAACAGCTGGAATGGAAACAACCAAGGTGCCCTGAACCAGGGAATACCCCTCAATGCACACCAGACCCATGGTGTAGGTCAAATTCCTGCTGGAGTAGACGCCCGTTCCTGTCCCAACTACCCCTTCTGCGGTTAGACGGAGATAGACAGTCAGCTGACAGCATGTTGTTTTCTTTTTCATTTCATTTTTGATACCTAGTTAATTTTATTGTTTCTGTAACTCGCTGTGAAGATACATTATGTGTTCAATCAAATTAGAAAAATTTGTTTCAAGGAGTGCTCATTATTTTATTTTCTTAATATTTAATGTTGTAGGTTCAAGGACATTTTATAAATGTTGCTGGAGTAAATTATTTAATATATCTGAATGCCTTGGGTAGGTTGTAAATATTATTTGGCTTGTCATAATAAATATATTTGGATTATATTCTAGAAAAAATTGTTATTCAACTCCATCTGTTGATTGGATTATGAAAAAGAAACCGTGTAATGGCAACGTCACCGTTCTTTGTTAAAATTTCCATGCACAGAATTCACAGGGTTTCCACAAAGGAAAATTATTTTTGCCAGACGTGTATATCAAATCTAAATAAGTTGAAAAATATATAAGAATGGAGAGTATCTATGTATCTATGGACCTCGCTATTGACCTATCATTTTTAAATTTGTTGAAGCAGATTGTGGTTTAAGCTTTCATTTAGGTCATAGAAACCCAGGAAAAATATTATTTCAAAATTGTTAGGAAAATAATTGAATCAATTTAATAACACATTATTTTTGGTTCTAAATGCTGAGAGAATGTGAAGAAGGTGAGGAATAAAATCCACCAATATAAAATATAATTACATTTATTAATGAACTGTCAATCTGATCTTAATCTCAATCAGATCTGAAGGAACTAAGGAACAGCCAAATTTGGAAACTACATATGAACAAATAACCTTAACTTAGAACATAGCATTTCCACATAGACTATGATACACCACACAAAATGTAAACTAGGAGCATTTCAACATGAAATAAACATAATACAGCCATGGTTAAATTAACAACTCTTAGGTATTCACTGAAATGTACTGTCATTATTTGTTACCAGTTGATCCAAATCCACCTTCACCACGAACAGTTTCAGTCAATTCCTGAAAACACAAAGTATTGCTCAATCAAAAATAAAATAGAAGAATAAAATTGAACAAAAAGGAAATGAAGGAAAACTCAAGTAGGTACATAGTTTTCCATAAAATTCACAATTGGCAACTGTACAGAGAATAACAGCTCTTCAGATAAACAAGAAAAAGAATTGTTGTTCTGCAATTTAGTCATCCGAGTTTTTGATACTACAAGCACTAGAACTCACCTCTACTTCTTCAAGTTCAGGATAGTAAATCTTTTCACAGATCAGTTGAGCAATGCGGTCCCCACTTTTAACTTCAAAATCATTGTCAGAGTGGTTGAATAGAACTACTTTCAGGATTCCTCTGTAGTCTTCATCCACTACACCAGCTACACACAAAAAAAAACAAAAATATATTTAATGTTATTTGGGGTCCTAGGTATATATGGTTCTAAAAAATAATCAACTCTTAATGAATGATCCCTTCATAATTGTTTGAATTGCCTTCCTACTGAGGTTGAAACCTCTAAAACTTTACAAGTCAATGAGAAGAATCAATTCCATCAAGGTCTAACCCATTCCTAATTCTATACACTTTTAATTGGTGAAGGTTTAGGCTTTCTATAACAAATACAATCTTGATATATCTGACTTTTTTCCACCCTGATTATAACCAAATATGTACCAACGTGGCTGAGTTGTTCAAGGGGTTGTGCTCCAATTAACCTACATAAAAAACTTACCACCAACATCTATGAAGTTCTTGACTGCCAAACCAGACCTGGGGGCCACCCTTCCATAGCAACCCACTGGGAGCTCAATCTTCAAACCTGTGTCCACTAGGGCCTTGCCCCTTGCAGGAACAACTACATCAGAAGCACTTTTCAAGTCATATCCTGCTGCTTTAGTGGATCCTTTGGTTGGTGGATAAGCTTCAGGCACTACTTTTGTGTATTTCAAGACGAGGGGACCCTTAGATGAAGGCATTTTTGTGTTATTCAATGGTTTTTTTACAAATTGGCGAAGAGCACGCTGCCTGTTGAGGTTGGAGATGGAGAATGAACTATTGGCGGCAAAGAATGAAGTAAAAAATTGGCGGTACAGGCACATTTGGCGGGATCTGGTCAACGACAATTGTTTGGGGACATTTGGATCTTCCGGAAAGGTGGTATATTCAAAACTTGATTCAAAAATCACTCAATTTACTTCGATATACAAATTGAAGCAGAATGAAATGATGTGGAAATAACAATTTTGAGGTTAAAATCTGTAAACACATATTTTCCATTTAGATCAACAATGATCATATATTAATGTGTGGAAATGTTCAATTGGCGAGAATTGGCGAGATTTCAAATAACTATGATTTTAGGTGGAGACGCTTTTTCATTGTTTGAATTCTCGCCAACTCTCACCCCTATACATCTCCAGTTGTGCCAAGCTAAAAATACTCCAAGGATTATATCCTTTAGATTAGAATATTCACCATCTCCGCTCTGCGCTCTACCAGTAGGAAGCCAGTGACTAAGATGACGGAAGAGTGAACATCTTTCCATCAGACAGCTGTGGTATAGTTGTATATTCAAAAATTGTTCTTGGTTCATCATTCGGTTGTCATCTTACGAGCAACCCTCAAAAGTCTTCAAGAGACTTGTGCGAGCAAGGAATGACGGGGCTCTTACCTTTTAACGTGTGATCCCAAACACGTTCTTAGACCATATATCATAAAAATTTCTGCAGTCGTGGTGGGAACCGAACCCACCTACCGAAACTTCTACCACGAAACTACACTGGCCAATCGATTTAGAGCTGGCAGAATGACGTTATTTTTTTAGATGGAACTCGTTTGAGTGAATTCGCATATCGAACGCAGCCTTGAAATCATTTTTTCACAATTTTGTGCCAATGTTGAACCTGATGATCGTTGGGTTATTTTGGCTGTTTAGTCGGTTCAAAAATTCAAGTATCTCTTAACCGGACTGATTTTTTGTTCAAATGGCTCCACGGCTCTTTTAAATTTTTATTTTTGTAATGTGATTTCCACATGATCTTATAAGTACTATGGGTGTTTGAGCCGAAACTAGTCACAATACATTTTGTGTAATATAATTTTTGTGGTCCACCGACTTGGTGTCAATCTGTTTCCTCTTTGAAAAAAATTTAGACCACTTTGAGAAGGATGGATGGTTTCCATGACCTAAGAATGACGTTACTTCACGCTGAAATTTCTTGTTGCGCTGTTCCTCAGCTGCAAGGCTAATTGGTCTATGTTAGAGTCGTCTATGTAACTTACATATATAAAAAGTTCAATAGATCTCTTGCCTCAGCTGTACCAGCTAACCATAGAGCTAACTTTGACCACGTCACTGACGTAGCATTGGTGTTTATATTGAGTTTATTGCGTATAGTTTATCAATCTTGGGTCTATAGGTATTTTTTCGCGAGTTCCCGTTGATCAGCCACCGGTAATAGAGCGGTTATACCCCCACCAAAAAATAAACCGAAGGCCGTTCATCCTTTGATTTCTCCATATACGTATTAATAAACAATACGGATCATAACGGGTGCCAGGATGAAGCCAAAAATATGAAACAAATGAATATCCATAAGGATTTGGTGGCATGATACGCAAGCGCCATGCGCTATTATAGTAGTCATCAAAGACATGCGTTTCGGTGGACAATGACGTTTACTAGCCTTTCAATCAAAGCAGTATGTGTCTGATCGTTTCAAAACTTTTCCTTATGGATAGTCATTTGTCTTCAAAAATCGGCTTCATGTTTCGCTATGGAAACAGATAGAGATTATCCGTATTGATTATTAATACGTATATGGATTTCTCACGAAAATGAACCGGTTAACCGTTCAGATTTCTGTCAGCTGGGATTTTTGTTTTCGATCATAATAAATGGACAGTTGCATTTCGGTTGCATGATCGTTGGCTACGGCTGCTCCGGTAGCTCAACAAAAATCATCTCAAAATGTTCCCAACAGTACTGTCGATGATTGATGATTTTTTTTCTTTTCAAAGTACAATTATAAAGCCAGAATTTCAAGAAAGTTATTTTCATCCTAGATAAATAAATATAATGAAATGTTATTTTTCAGCTATTTCGAATGGAAAGAACAACTTTTTCAACGTTATTGACTGTTCAAGTTGGTGTTATTCCATTTCTTGATTTAAAAAGTGAGTAGTAGGAATCTCAAAAAAAGTTTGAATAATTATAAATATGTTTACTTCTGTTAATGATATAATATTTTAAAAATAATGATACAATGTCACTTGTCAATTACTATAACCGCCAGTTACCATGTTCACAGATGCGGGAACTAAAACAGTTCCCGTTTTATAAATTGTGACGTCACTGATGACGCCATTATCATACTCCCCTATTACCGTTATGACGCGAAAATGCAACGGGAACTGAATATCAGTTCCCGGCAAATCAACGGGATCTCGCGAAAAAATACCTTATGCTTATGTGTCACGAATGTCAGTATCAATCAAGCTGTCAAAATTTCAACATGACATTCAGTTTTTTGCTGACTTTTGGTAATATTTTTCTTTCACATTTCACATTCGAATCATTCCATATTTCGAATTTTTTCCTGGCTGCAATGGCTTTGGCAAGTGGCAAGATTTTTCTTCTCCCAGTTGTATATTCATCAATATCATACAATTTTGAATATTGAGAATACAATTATGTGTAGTAGTTGTTATCCCTAAATAAAATTATATTCTTGTTGAACCTACGACTATACCTACACATTTCTTCAAATTTCAAGAAGTACCTTCATAATCATGCCCTAGACAGTTGAAACTGCGAATTTAGGAACTATTCTCAATAAATTATCATAATTCTTAGGTGGTGGTGATGATATAATTCAATAGTGTTATGGTAATGTGAACATGTCTGTATTTTTCCAAGGGTTTGTGAATTTCACCAGGGATTATATAGGTGAGTAATATTAATTTTTATTATTCTGAACAAAATCCCCTCGAAAATTCCACAAAAAAAAACTGGAATAATTGATAATGGAAGTTTTTTTTACATCCATTTTTTCCTGATAACTTGGGAAGTTGAAATGTTCCTATAATCTATTTTTTTTAAATATCCTGCAAATGGACAGTATTGGAATCTTGTACCATTCTATCAGTTCTATATTATTTGAGAGATTTTTTACCTCTTCTTTTGACAATGTGGATACCTATAGTTTACTTTTCCAAACAGTTTATTCCATAAGATACAAGTATATAACTCAACTTTTAGATAAAGTAGATAGTAGATACTAGAGTCACTGGATGGTATTAGTTTGATAAGAGTTCGGACACAGCTGAACTTTTGTCCTTTTCTATTTTCTATAATACAATGGTTTAAGTGAATAAAAGAATAAGACATATATTCTGGTCTTTGTCTTTTCAATTTCCCTAGTAGCGCCTGATTGTCAGATACGATTTTAGAGGTTATATTTTCTGTCAAATCAATCATAGCCGTAGATGGACAATGGATATAGGGTACAAACACCCACTTCAATTCATAGCGATACCCTTCTAGCAGAGCAAGATTTATATAAATGAAAAGAATGCATGTAACAACATTTTAATATCAGAGAATATATACATATGGATAAACTTATAGCTATAATTCCTCATTGTATGTGAAACTGTACTCCAGTGAAGTATTCCTGAGACAATTTTAAGAAATAAAGTCTATATAAGCTTGTGTTTGGAAATGCTTCATTTCTGAGATACATGGTGTTGAAATACAGAGAACAAATCATTTTTCGATGAAGATTCCATGGGAAAAAAGTAATTTATTTTGACGAGACCTACCAAATACTTGGTTTTGTTAAGTTCTCAGCAACTTCACTTAGCGCCCGCCTCGCGCCCGCCCTAAGAACTAAGTAACATGGATCGATATAGATAATATCTCCAAAACGATAACCTCCAGCGTAATTAAGGCCCTTATAATAATTCCCTTGATACATAAATATCTATTCACTTTTCACTGTTGAATTTTGAATTCGCGGTCAGCACCAAAAACGCCATTCAATAATATATCACGTTGTAGTTTACTTGCTTTTCTTAGTTTCGTTTTCAAATTTTCAATTTCATAATGTAATTTTGCGATCATTTCTCCTTCTTCCATGATTATTTTGTTTTGTATTTTGTGTGATGATAATAATGGAATTTTGTTCTTGAAATCGTCTGCTTTGTAAATTGATGGAACAGCAGATTCTCTCAAACAGATTTTGAAATCTTCTGTTTGAAAATGTGCCTAAAATATAGATTCATTCTAATCAGATGTTGTTATAAGCAGTGAATTTCAACGAGTACTCACAAATTTCGCTCGTCTTCAAATTGATTTTCCACCCAGGCCGTTTCATATTATCTTCCTTCCATAAGCGAATGCTTGATATTCGAATTGGAAAATCGAATAAATGATATCCATTTGTTTCAAAATTGGCACAATTTATTATACAGCAAGTGATTTCCATAGCTGCTTTTATCTCGAAAGTATAATAATTATGAAATTTTATTCCAATTCTGACGTTTATAAAATGAATTGTCAAATTCAAAAAATGTTGAATGAAAAAGCGCGGGACGACTATGGTGCTCTTGTCACAATGCATGGTGTGTAACTTTATAAATCTAAACATTCAAAAACCCTAACCGTTGTCATTTCTGTGTCCGAACTCTTATCAAACTAATACCATCCAGTGACTCTAGTAGATACCTAGATACCATTATGTAGTTTTCATTTATTAATACAAAAATAATCCTGTTTATTCCATGAATCAACATCATCAGAAATCAATTGAACAATTTTGAACGAATATCATTTTTTCTTAAGGTCAAAAGCATTATGTTTATCAAGCAACAATACATTATGCCTGTCTAGGTAATAAAGAGCAAATTGTTAATTAAGTGGAGTTGTACAATTTCAAATTTGCTGACCCACACATTATTTATTAGTTATCCATTCCTCAGACAATTTGTATCAATAAAATTATTTAATAAATTAGGAAGTGAATCATTTCAAAATGTGTATATTGAATATAGCATCTATGACCCTGGCAATGATAGTTTGTAAGTTTCTTTCAGGAACAATTATAAAGAAGTACAAACAATAAAATAACATGTAATTATGTTAAAATTCATTATTTTTAATAACCGATTTTTTCACACCTTTACATTTCAAATATTAAGCAATTAAAAAACATTTACTAGGTATCTGACCTCGTATCTGACTTTGGCAATGAATGTTCATTAATATTCAGGCCTTAAGTTCTTCTTGATATATTATTTTCTCATCAAATAAAAGTAAATGTCTCATATGGAAAATTATTTTTAGAAGTAGTAGTAGTAGTGGTAGTTTTCACTTTTAGTTGAATATTCTAATTTCATTGAATTTCAGTGAACTACATAGATATTGACTATTCACTATGGATGACATGGTTTTTGGCCCCATTGCTGATAAGTTTCCTTCTTCCTGTGGTCATAGCACTTTTTCTATACTTCAGTGCCTTTGTCTTGTACATTTACAAACTACACTGGACCAATATCAGGAAAACTCTGCAAACTGGAGACATGTGGGATACTGTAAGAAAATTTGTATGTGCCCTTTGGGATGCTCATGGTTGGATATGGCATGGTGAGTTAACACAGTGAAAATAGAATTATGCAATATAATTTCACACAGTTGAATTCTCAACCTGTAAGGTCAAAAAAACCCTCAAGAAAACCTAATATGATGAATATTTTTCAGGTTATGAGGTGAGGGGCTTGGAAAATGTCCCAGATACTGGTTCAGCATTAATTATTTATTATCATGGAGCAATTCCCATAGATCTCTATTACTTCTTGGCAAAGTCTATTTGTGTGAAGAACAGGCTAATACATACTGTGGCTGATCACTTCTTATTCAAGGTACCAGGTAAAACACACTTGAAAATAAAATCATTCCTATGCATATTTTTGTTATATGTTTAAGTGATAATTATTAGTGAATTATATTTCAATATCTCTAATACTAGTAATACTTCTTTTACACTTGATCATTATTGATGACTCAGATCATCTTTTGAGAAAAAATACATAAGAGAAAACCAATTATGAAAATTCAATGGCTGTTTTTTTTGCAGGCCAGTGTATTATCTTGTTGACTTTCATGTTTTGTAGGGTTCAGTATCATAGCAGAATGCATGAATGTTATACCAGGGACAATTCAAACATGTTCAAATATACTGAAAGAGGGAAATGTATTGGCTATTTCTCCTGGAGGTGTCTATGAAGCACAGTTTGGACACACTTATAATCTTTTATGGAAAAGAAGGTTGGGTTTTGCCAAAGTAGCTTTAGAAGCTAAAGTGGTGAGTAGACAGTACCTACAAATTTAATTCATTTGTCACAGATAATTGAAAACAATAAAAAAATATTCCAATATTTCATCATTAAGAGTTATTTCAATTGTCAATTTTAATGCAATCCATATTACAACATGATTTTTGTAGTTTTGTGCCATAATAAAAAATCTTATATTGAAGGAAAACTCAGTGTACTAGTTTGTACTAGGGGTGACCATACATTGAAATTTTGTTATCATTGTTTCTAGCCAATCATCCCAATGTTCACTCAAAATTTGAGAGAGGCATTCAGAACAGTTAGTATAGGAAAGCGATTTTTCCTTAAAATGTATGCCATGTTCAAAATGCCTCTAGCACCTGTATATGGAGGTTTCCCTGTTAAAATGGTGACACATTTGGGAAAGCCCATTCCCTATGATGGGAATCTGACTCCAGAACAGCTACAGGCCAAGGTATAAATGAGGGTTGAAAGGGTTTAAATCACCCCCATTTTTTCATTCATCTGGGAATTTTATATATCATGAAATTTTACAGGTGGCAGCAGCAATTGAAGATCTCATCCAGAAAAATCAGCGATTGCCTGGCAATATTTTATTTGCTCTTTTTGAGCGAATACCTTTTTTTAGAAAAAAAACGGCATGAGTAGTCTGCTGATTTTGTAAATGATTTAATTATTAGTGAAATTCAACCAGTACTTATTATATGTTACCTTGATGATGTATTCAAATAATAAGCTTTATACCTAGTCAATGGCTTAATGTTGACATTCCTAAAGAAAAGATTTGTGGTGGTGGAAATATTTCTATGTTTTTCAAATTAGGACATAACATCAGAAATTATTTATTTTTAATTTTTTAAGTCACAGTATACTTATTGAATTTGGATACTTTAGTATTATTTTTAAAATATTTCTCACATTAGTCAGAATGATGATGTAAATACATATATATTGAAATCCTGTTTCATTTTATTTTATCACAGCTGAGTTATGTGATCACAAGGGGGTTGCTTTTCATAATATTTTATAGTTGGGGTGACTTGAGATGTTTATAAGGCATCTTAGGGTGACTGAGGCTTGATGGAGATGTGTTCTCAACTCATTCAAATTTTCCCTGCCCATAACTACTTGAAAAAGTCTACAAATTTTTATTTTTTTTTCTTCATAATCATCATTCCTCCGGAAACTACCACCATCTACTAACAAATAACAATCGCCCAGTACCCCTGAGTCACGAGCGTCTCGGACCAGGACTGTACCATGGGAGTCGGCTTCATTCTGTTCTGACCTGATGGAGGAGTGACTCTAGCTCTAGATGGAGGAAGGATAGTATCATTTTGAATGTAGCCGTTAGTGATTCATTGTCACTGACATTTGTCCAAATATTCAATATGGAAAATAAATTCCATTTGTAGGAAACAGGGATTAAATCATTTGAGAAACGTCAAGAAACTAACCCGTTAACTTAGAATCTTCGAAGAAATCCATACTTTCGATTTAAAAGTTGATTCGCAAACAATGAATGCAAGCCATTGCAAGCGGTGTATATTTGGTTGCCTATACAAGATCATTAATGATCAATTTGAGTCGACGGAAAAAATCATATATTAAAATTGCGGAGACCACTCAGAGGTCACCTCTTTTTCATTTTTTCAATTCACAGTAATCAAAAACAAGGGATAACAAGAGTGTTACTGGGACTGGAAATATGTTTTTGATATTGTAAAAAAATATGTATATTTAATCAAAATATATAGTAGCTTAGCCATCTTTATGATAGTAGTGGTAACTTAATGACTGAAAAACCAAACAATACAGAGATAAATATTATGGAAACAGCTGAAGTGTTATTTCTCCAACAAAAACATTTTATACAATTTCTCATCATCTTCCTTGTCAAATACTGGAACAAATGGAACTTTAATGATTTCTTGAAATCCTTCAGATATCTGGGGTTCCTCAAATTTATTCTTATAGGAATTAATAATAATTTCACTCACTGGCACATGAGATTTATCAGTAAGCTCTCGGAATTTATTGTTGTGCTTCATGTGCTGATACTCTGTAGACATCACAAAACATCTACACATGACTTTGAATCTCTTTGCTACTTCAATGAACCTTGCCCTTGCCTCTCTATCAGGATTGGTATTATCAACAACACAATTTTTCTTTTTGTCCAAACTGTCTTCAAGCATTTTCACACATTTTTGCCAAGATCCTAGAGTGTCCCTATTGATATGGATATAACCTTTGGGCAGCAATAAAGTTCTGCAGAAGTAACTTTTTCCAGACCCTGGCCCCCCAACCATCAAGATCACACTGGGTGCCTTGAAATTCACATCTGGATAACTTGCAGGGGCCAAATCACATGGATCAAACTCAGGCATAGAGTAAGGCACAGGTTTTGCTTTTAGGAAATATTCTTCTGGTGTGTAAAATTTTAGGCCTATGTTCAGTGCAAAAAGTCTATCAGCCTTTGAATGATCCTTATTGCGTTTTGGAGCCCAATTTTTTTCCCTACCTGCTGCATCACCAACATAAAATGATTCATTCACATCAATTTCAGTTCCATCATTTTTCTTGGTTTTCAACACATTCCACATTCCAGGTGCTGGTTTTCTATAAATAGTTTTTGCAAGAGCTGCATAAACTTGAATTGGTAATGATATTTTTTTAACTATATTTTCCACTTTACGTTTAAAATCTTTTGTCTTAAAGGAGTCATTGAAAATGGCAGATTGGTTAGTGAAAAATACAATTTTGTAACCATCTTCATACAAAGCTTTCAGTTGCTGGGGTATATCACTGTAATTCAGTACCCAATCATCACCATCTTTAGGAAATCTAGCACCAGATTTTGTCTTGATTATTGTCCCATCTATATCAAATGCTGCTATTTTAGATCTGCCATCAATGTTCTCATGAGTATATATGATCAATTCTTTATGATCTATATCTTCCCATGTACCATTATCACTGAATGTCATTTTATCATATTTCATTTTACCTTTGCTGAATATAGGAAAGTCTATTTTAGGTTTTTTGGTTAATGGCTCAGCTACATCTTCCTTCTCATCATCAAGAGGTGGCTCGAAGATAACATCATATTGATGGAAGCCTAATCTGAACTCTATTTTATGTCCATGACCTATTTTGTACACCTTATCCTTTACAATTGCATAACCATCTATTCCAGAAACAGTTTGTCCAATAGGCTTAACACTCACTTCGCCAATTTCTACGTTTGCCAGACATTCTAACTGTTTCTTAGATAGGAATGGGTCTTGAATTTTCGTTTCAGGATCACGTCCTAATATTTTCAGTTCATTATGAACTAGTTCAATTTTTTCGTTTGCTGTGCCTCTGAGATAACATCTTCTTGTTATCATGATAGATAATCTATTGAGATGTATCATTCATTTGAAAATTTCTGATAAAAAACTATTCTGTTGTTGAAATGCTCCTTTTTTTTTGTACTTTCGTTTTGAATTTCAAAATTTGCGGTTGCGGTTATGTTCACAAAGTTACATCTTCTTCTTCCTCCTTCCTCCACAATTTGACAAGCGTCTAGCTAGACCACCGAATCTTTCAAACCTCAAGGTTATCAGAAGGTTATTCGTGTTCTGTGGGTGATATGAGAAAGGAAAATATCTCTTCTGCATGAAAAAGGAATCTACTTTCAACCTAACTAAAAACTATAATTTTGAAAAATTTATTGAGTGAGAAAATTAAAAAAAAATCCTCAATATTTTTTTCGTTTTCTATCAAATCAAAAGAATCGTTTGATTGACCAAAAAATGGGTCGGTAGCGAAAGGCATGGCCGTTTGAATTATTGTTTCCAAAGAGGATTTGCTGTCTCTGTCGGTCTCTGTCGTCCCTTTCCTTGGATTTTGTCTTTGTCAATTGTCATTGTCAATTCAAGACGCCATTTTAATTACCGATTTTTTTTCTCGTTTTTGTTTGAGAGCGTGCAGGAAGGAGTAATTGGAGTTGGAGCCAGTGAGTTTTGTATATTTTTTGTACATAATTATTATATTTTGTACATAATAACGCGGTAAAACAAGTAAGGTAAACATATCTCGAAAATAACATTGACCGGCTCTAATTCTTCCTTTTTATTTTCATAGCAATCATGGGAGTACAAGTAGAAACAATTTCCCAAGGTGATGGTAAGTTGGTCGTTTTTTTCTTGATATTTTCAATCTATTTACCTATTTACCTATTCATAAGAATCCACTATTACTTTACTCATTGCTTTTAGTAGATGTTTTCATAATCAATGAATAATGTATGCAGTATATTGCAGTTGACCTTGACTTTAGTATGGATTTTTCCTGATAGCAGGGAAGTCCATCATAGATTATACCAAAGTACTAACCTCATTTCAGAAAATCCCTTCGAAAACCAATTTGAGTTGAAAACTGTCTTAATCTTTTTTCAGGACGAACCTTCCCAAAGACAGGTCAGACTGTGGTTGTACACTATACAGGTACCTTAACAAATGGACAGAAGTTTGACTCATCCAGAGATAGAGGAACACCATTCAAGTTCAATATAGGGAGAGGGGAAGTCATCAAAGGTTGGGATGAAGGTGTTGCCCAAGTAAGTTCTACAATATATTTTGTGATAATATTGTGTGTCCTCTCTAAGTTGATTCACCATGATGATTCCCTATCCTTGCGCTCTGATTCACTTGAAGAGTTGAAGTGATGTTTTCTTGGCATTCCTGAACATAGCTACACTTACAAATTGTTGTTTGATTGTTATGTCCACAAAATACTGTTTGAATTTTTTAGCTCAGTGTGGGCCAAAGAGCAAGACTGACCTGCTCACCTGACTATGCTTATGGATCAAGAGGACATCCAGGAGTTATTCCTCCAAATGCAACACTCATCTTTGATGTAGAATTACTGGAAATCAAATAAACCAATCATACTTTTATATAGGAGGCTTTGAGGTTGTTACCAACAAACATTAACACCAAAATCAGAAATTCTAATAGTAAAATCTAGTTAAATTTATGGATGTCTTGGTGGTATTTTCAGACTTGATAGCTGGTCTTCTTCAAAGTCTCTGGGAGAATTTTAGAAATTAATTAAGTTTAATTGGAAGTATTTACTGCATTTAGAATATCTTTCCTATTGCATTCATTTTTTTAACAAGTTAGTGCAGGTTTCTTAACGAATTCTTAAGAGAATGCTATAGCTTTTTTGTTTGATTTGAAGACTCATTTATAGGTGTTGTAATGTTCCAATAAAAAGAGCTGAGTGTCTAAATTGTTTTTGTTTTGTCCACCGAGTTGTCCACCTTTGAATATTTAGGGATGATGTCCATAAGGTTTTCCTTGGGTTCTTTTTTCAATTTTTTTTAGTGAATTTACATACTTGGTTTTTCATGAAACAATAATTAGGAGAAAATTGAGAAAATATTTGGTTTTTATATTTAATGACATATGGTCAAGTTATTTATTCAATCTGATCAATTGATTCTTCAGAAATTTGCATAGGTCCAGAACAGGATCATTTATTCCAAAGCTACACCCTTTCCATTTTCATTTCATAAAACGGTGAAGAAGTCAAATCAAATCAAAATGTACTTTATTGCCTGAAGAATAAATTCTTATTGACAAAGTATTGATCGTCCTTACAAAGCATAGTCTTATATAGAAAAAAAACAGATAATCAAAAATATAAAGTGTAGACATGTAAAAAAGTGTATAAAAGTAAAAATATGTATGAACATTCACAAATTTGTTTGTAAAGACAGTAATACATTTATAAGCAAGTTTGAAAATCAGTAGAATTATTATAAAATCAGGTACCTACCCTGATCGAATTCGGTGAGATTATAAAACGCTTTTTCCAATAGAAACTTTTTAACCGATTTCCTAAACTTTTGTTCAGTTTCTATTTGCTTTATGTAATCTCTGCTTTATGTGCAAGGGCAGATGATAGAACAAATTCTTGCCTTCATAAATTATAGAATACTTGGTAAGAGTTGACTTGGAAATAGACAGTTTAATGTTATAGGGAAAGCTGCAGGTATTATGTGTCGTCGACTCATGTCTGAATTCTTTAAACTTTTTTTCAACTAGGCAAACGACGGTTTCCAAAATGAAAATGCAGGCCAGTGGCAGTATTCTATGAGCCAAAAATAAAGGTCTACATGAATCCCTCGAATCGGCTTTGCACATTATCTTAATGCGCTTTTTTGGAGAATAGAAACTCTAAGGAATAAATAGTTTGCGCACAAGCCCCAAAAGCAAATACCATAGCGTAGGTGCGATTCAATGAGTGAGTAGTAAGCGTTCTTTGCCGCAGTTAGACCTAATTCATTGGATGTAACTCGTACGGCATAACAGCCAGACGCTAGCTTTTTAGCTAAGTTCAAAAATCAAAATATGCCATTCAAATTTTAGTTTGGCGTAAATATTAAATCCCAAGAATTTATGTGTAGCTTTGATGCATATCGAGAAATACATTGTTGATAACGCTCTTAAAGTTGATTAGGTATACTTACCTGTCTTATAGAGGTGTTGAAAGACAATAAGTTGGCGTCGCACCATTTTTAACTTTGTTCAGGTCCTCATTGATTATGTCTTCTAAAATTACGTTATCAGTACCGGCCAGATAAGATTGAAACCAGAGTAATGCTACACCTCTGAAGCCATATAGGTGTGTAACTTTTGAAGCAGTATTCTGTGATTTACACAGTCGAAGGCCTTTGAAAGGTCACATTTGTATTTCTGAATAGTCAATTGGATTTCAGCAAGTCAGTTGTATTCCATAATGGTCAGTTGTGACTAAATATACTTGAAATACAATTGACGCTTTCTGAAATTCAATTGACTATTCTGAAATGCAATTGACGCTTTCTGCCAATATCTATCCACCTTTCTTTCTGCAATACAGATGACTATTTTTTCTGAAATAAACAACTGGAAAAGGTGTATATAGTGCTATGACTTACTTTGTAAAATGTGTTGCATACATTCAAGTAGGACCATGACCATATATGAAAATAAAGAAGGCAGGGGTGGATCATGCGATTTGGGGACTCGGGCAAACAGCTTTTGGTGGCCAAAAGCTGTGTATAGTCATATACTCAATAATCTAAACTTGTAAGATTATGTAGAATAAATTCATTAAGAATGCAATTAAATGTACTAAAATTGCAAATCTGTCGAGAAAAATGTAGGGTCCACAAAGGTCATTAGATAATAAATAATCAAGCAACATGTGAATCATGTGAATTATGGTGTAACTTTTACCACCATACACCTGGTAAATATAATATGGCTTTATATCGCGCCAGTGCCAGGTATAGGAAAAAGAAGTGGAAAATGGCTGAAAATCTTGATTCTGCAAAAGTTGAGATATAGGGACATGCAAACCGTTTTGACCAATTATGAATAGTTTCGACACAAAAAATCTTAGTTAAAAAATCTCGATGTTTCACACCCTATATCTCTGTGATTGTCACTGCTTATAGGTCAATGAAATCAACTTTCTAGGGAGAATCTGGAAAAAGAATAATATACAGGGTGTCCCATTTGAGAAATCAACGTCGCAGCGCTGAGAATATTTCAGGTCGATAGAGCAAAACTATATAATTATCCAAGGCATCACATTTTCTGAATAATCCCAAGCTACGTTCTCCAGAAACGCAGAATTTTCGCAGGCTGTAGGAATGATCTTCTTCCAATCAACCAAATTCGTACCTCTGTCCTCTACCGACCATACCGTTTCCGGTGGTGCAACCATATCGTGGTCACTCTGTATACAAAAATTACAGCAGGTAAGCTGTGATCAGGTCATTAATTGATGGTCAATATAAGAATAAGGTGAACTCCAAAAACAGAATGAAGACACGAATAAACCTAGCCATCAGCGGTGACTTTGATGGGAGATTTAATTATTTCATTATTTCTTCATTGGTAGATTCGAAAAAACAACGATAATCGATGAATATGGGTAAGTGACCTGGCGACCCCACTGGTCAATAATTAATATGGTCATTGTTCGGCCTTGTTCATTGGGGTCGTATCTATGTGCTATTGCCAGTGCCTTGCGAAATGAACAATTATGGCATTTGTTGTGTAGAGGTTCGTGTGGGTCAAGTGTTAGCTAGAGCTATACAGGGTGTATCTAAATAACACCGAAAAAATTCAAGAGGTGTTTCCTTGTGACATTCTAGCAAATAGAGTGCTACCGGGTGTTCCAGGGCTTTTAGGCCAGCAGGTATCTGATGGGTTACCTAACATTAAAAATATATAATATATTGAAATTGTATAATATATGGGAGCAAAAGCTCTCCAAGAGAATGAAATTGAATTAGCCCCATGTCAAACAATATACTAGAAAACCATCCCTAAATTTGGTTTTTCAAATTGCACCTCCATTCATTTTTCTTGAGCATTTTGGATTTTCTCTCCTCGTTTCTATAAAATGAAAATGTGAGTATTATTTCAATATACGTGTAGGTCAGATGGTTCGCCGCAAAATGCCACTGCAAGTTTTTGAAAAAAAATCGGTTTTTCGTAAATATCGAGAAAATATTTCACTCAATTGTGATAAGATTGTAGATTGTAGATGGGTCGTATAGGCTGGGAGACCTCTCGATCACTGCGACCTAGAAGATCTATTGTGATTACCCTTATCTAGTTTTGGCCCTCTAACCCTAGACTTCTGATGAAGCCTAGAATTTTCCAGACGGTTGAATTTTCCACCTCAGCAGGGGTGAGATAGACCTGTTCGAGGTGGTTCAGCCTTTGGCGGTATAATACTGAGCAAAGTATGTGTTCCGCGGTTTCGGTCGCATTGTTACAAAAGCGGCAAGTGTCAGTCTCCGCCAGGCTCATCTTTTTGAGGTGGTACCTCAGAGGACCATGTCCTGTGAGAGCCTGTGATAAGCTTTAGCTCTGGTTTGCTGAGGCTGAGTAGCTCTTTGGCTCGGTTTCGCGAATGGTTGATGAACCTTTTCGCTTGTCGTTGACCTGGAGTTGCTCTCCAGTAGGAGGACTTTTCAATTTCTTCCCATTTCCTGAGTTCTTCCTTTATTTCAATATACGTGTAGGTCAGATGGTTCGCCTCAAAATGCCACTGCAAGTTTTTTCACTCAATTGCGATTAAATTTTGGCCGTGTTGATTTTGATCCTAGTATAGTAAGGGGCTATAATAAATAATAATATATTCTTGAAAAATCGAATTTTCAAAGTAAGGAGTTGAGACACTCCTGTAAATTGAAAGTTTTGCAGTTCCGGGCGTATGTTTATGGAAACTTTTCGTAATAGAATAAATACATCCCTTGTAGTTTGGCGACACATACCTACTTGAATGTAAATAGTCTTTTGACCGACATTTTTTTTGCTGGGGAATATACTGATACTACCTACTTATCATTGCGGATCATTAAATCTTTTGGAATTATATGGTATTATTTTTTGGAGAAGTCAGCCCGTTTTGACGGTACCTGTGTACCTATATATAGATATGATTTTGATCAATTAAATATTGATCATAGCCAGGGAATCTAGGTGTTAATAACTGTGCTAACATTGATCTATGGCAAAAACAATTAGTGGTTCATATAGTTTTCAGACCGTGACCAATTTGATAACCTGCAATTATTAATTATTATTGTCAATTTTAAATATTTACATAGATTCTTTATGACATTACATCATTGAAATTAGGTGATACACTCTGGTAGACGCTTATACCCACCTGATGCCAACAAGCATATACGATCGAAGCATTCTCTTCATTTTCCATGGGCATAAACTAAATTTGTAAAAAAAAAACATTATGACCGATAGATATTCACATGTAAGTACAAGTAGTCATAAACTCTGGAAAAATAAGGAAACTTTTGAGAAAGTGATCCTTTTGTGAATCGATAAGAGCGTGTTGAAAATGGTAAATTTTGCA